ACCTACTAAGTATCCAAGGTGGACATTGATCCCAGGTTTTTCTGACTCCAGATTCAAGAATTTATTCCTACATGAGCAAAACTGAGCTAAGAACCTGGATTGTAGGATATTTGATTTAGACAGAGAACAAGGACTGGGATTTCGATTCAATGCCCCACTGCCATGCCCCCATCTACCTTCCAGGGTTGGTGATGGCTCAGATGAGATAATGTATGTATATTCTCCCTGTGAACATAAGCTTTTATCAATATTAGACAGAGATATTGTCAATATGATGACACATCATCCCCTAGGAGTTGGTTGGGTGGGCTTTGCTTCTGCCTTGTGAACTTAGGTTTCGAAGAAGCCATTGCCCCTCCCATTGGATGACCCTGAGCTTTAAGCAGCCCAGTACTGAGAGGACCTGCTAATAACTCTGGCACTCAGGTTTCAGTGAGTACATTATCTTGCTGCTGTCCACTGAACCCAGAATTGTCTGCACTAATAGAACAGGGAGTGATTTAGGAGGCAATCAAGGCCAGGGGGTGTACCATGGAGAGCTCCCTGGACCTAGAGGCAAAGGATCTGTCCCTGCAACGTCTTACCTGTGTGACCTTGGGCACATCACTGCCCCTATTAGATTTGAATTTCCTCCTTTGATAAGAGATTAGACTAGATAATTTCTAAACTCCCCTCAGAGCTCTTACTTTCTAAATCCGAAGGTCCCTTCTCACCCTGACATTCTCTTTCCCAAGATCTCTCCCAGCTCTGACATTCCCTGTTCTAAGACCCCTCCCAGCTCTGACACTCCTTGTTCTGAGGCCCCTCCTAGCTCTGACATTCCCTGTTCTAAGGCTCCTCCCAGCTCTGACACCTATGACCCTAAATAACAAATAATCCAGCTTACTTTGGGGATATATTTTGTGATTTATAAAACGAATTGACCTCCCGATTATATTCTGCTTTGACTGATAATAAATGACTATTCATTCTCTGAATACACCAATGAACAGGGAGATGACTATGAGGTATGCTAGGTGCAGGGGGGAAAAGTCAGCCTGAAACTTAAGGATTAGTTTGAAAATATCCATGTATAATATACCTATCATGACTATTACTTGTATCATGGTTGACTGTGGACTTGTTTCATCCCCTACTTCTCTAACTAGACTGGAAGCTGCTCGAGGACAGGGTCTCAGTCTTGTTCTATCATTGAACTCCCACTTGCTAAAGGTTTGTTGAAGGGACATTGACAAGTAGAGTATCACCAAAGGAGAATGACCACAGTGATGGGGGGGACTCAAAACCATGCTCTAAGCATAGACTGTGAAAGAACTGGGCATGTTTAGAGGACATGACAGCAAGCTTTAGTAATCTAAAAGGTTATTGTGTGGAAGAGGTATTTGATTTATGCTATTTAGTGCCAAACTCCAGGGTGAAGGCCAATCAGTAGAAAGTTTGTGGCGAGGTACATAAGTAAAAAATTTACCTAAGTAAAAAATGTCATATTTAGGGCTGCCCTGTTGAATGGGAGAGGGTACAGTGGGTAGTGCCAAGCCTGGAGTCATGAAGACCTGAGTTCAAATCCAACTTCAGACACATTCTAGCTATGTGACCCTAAACAAGTTAATTAATCCTGTTTGCCTCAGTTTCCTTATTTGTAAAATGAGCTGGAGAAGGAAATGGCAAACCACTCCAGTGGTTTTGCCAAGAAAACCCCAAATGGGGTCAACGAAGAGTCAGACACAACTGAAACGAGTAAACAACAACATTGAATGGGAAGCTTTAGGAGATTTTGAGTGTGGAAGGGAAAGTAATGATTTCTCCATCCCTGGAGGTGTTCAAGGCAAATGATCATTTGTTGGAAGCATTAAGATAAAATTTAGGATTCAGGGAAAAGATGGAATAAGGTCACCTATGAGTTCTTTCCAACTTGGAAATGCAGTAAATGAGTCTGTGATTTTTATGAATGTTGAAATGAATGCTCTGTCATACTTTGTCTCAGTTGAAACATTCAGTTCTATACTGGTTGAGATGCAAAAGTAAACATGATCCTTGAGGGGCAGCTAGGTGGCACTATGGATAGAGCACCAGCCCTGAAGTCAGGAGGCCCTGTGTTCAAATCCAACCTCAGACCAAACACTTGACTGTTACTAGCTGTTTGACCCTGGGCAAGTCACTTAACCCCAAATACCTTAAAAAAAAAAAAAGATCCTTGCTTTCTAGGAGTTTGCAGTCTAGTAAATTGCTGCCCAGCTCATCTTCCTAGCAACTAACCTTTTGTCAATTTGAGTAACAGATAAAAGGTCTTCTCACCAATCAGAATGGGTCTTATGGTGCCATCAGGGCTGGCATATGGGATGATTCTAATTTTATGAACTTAGTTCTAAGGCAGAATCTTGTGATTCAAGAAAGGTCCCTCAGCCCCCTCTAGGCCTCCCACCATTCTCCTGGTTCACACTTTCCCCTCCAGAAAGGTGGAGATGAGATATCTGAGCAGGAGAATCTCTCCCAAAATAGGTTCATTCCAACATGTTCTTTCCTCCCGAGAAGGTTCCATGACTTGAGCTCTTTCCTGCCTTCCCTTGGGAACGGTGCAAACTGGGGAGGTGGGCTGTTGTCTTGCCCTGTGTTGGTTGGTACAAGGTTTAAGATATTGGCGTGAATGATCATTAACTAGATTTACAGATGCTCAGACACAATGTAAGTCCATTACCGTGCATTTCCCCTTTTAGACAAAAAGGGATTTTTAGTGGGTTAATAGGACTTTTATTTCATTATCTAATGGCAAAAGTGTTTTGTTACACGCACTAGATAAATGTGTAGAGGCAGTAACAAATGTGGTCTTGTAGGCGGCTGCTCCTTTTCATCGGGCATATGGTAGATTAAAGAGTTCACCCTCGAAATACGCTCCTGCATGCTCGTGTGTGTTTTTAATAAATCTGATTGCAGATATTTATTGCATCACCGGATCTGGAAAATTACGGGACTTGATTGCTGCAAATATAATCGGGTGATATATACGGAACTGCAGCTCGAGTTATTGTCCGGGGCAAGAGGGTGGGGAAGGGAAAACGTCCTTCCAGTTCCTGTAGGCAAACAAGCCACCACATACACAGACCATATCCTGAATTATGCAAATGAACGCGATGACAGCTCCTGGTGAATTGTCCTTCCCTTCTGAAATTGCCACCATCAGAGGTGAGGAGGAAAGGGAAGGGCCCATCCAGGACGCTTGCACAGCCCAGAGCCTTTCTCCCCTGTGTGGAAGATGGAAGGATTTTTCCCTTTCTTTTCGGCTCATTTTCTTTTGTTGTTGTTGATGGCAGTGGCTGAAACCCTCCACAATCTGGCTTCCACCTACTTTTCTGAGATAATTGAACAATTCTCTCCATCTTGAACTTTCTCTTCTGGTCTAACTGGCCAGCTTACCATTTCCCTTCTGTGACATTCTATTGCTCACCTCTGCTGTTTTGCAGGAGTGGTCTATTATACTTAGAATGTGGGAAATCTGCACTAGATTCTGGGAATGCAATGAAAAGTCATTTC